TTCGAATTGATAAAACATCATAATATTTATTTTTATATAAATTTTAATTTTCACAAAAGATGCTAAAAACTTTGCCAGCTAGTGCACGTGTAAACAGAAACGTCATACAAATTAATGAATAGAAAAATAGAAAGAAACCACATTCCGTTGCCATATTGATTACAACTTGGCTAAGGCCAAGAAAATAAACTACATGCTGCTAAAATGTGCTAGGTGCACCTGGGGACTAAATAATAAAGCATATAAAACTCTATATAATGGGGCAATACAACTAATGCAACTTTATGTGGCCTCTGGTTGTGGTCATGTAACTAGTAAAAATTCAGTAGCGAGTTCGGTAAATTACTCTCTCTTTAAAGCCAGTTTGACGTCAAAATTTCAAAGTGCTGCAGAACTGTTATTCCTAATGCCTCTCTGATACTAGCAGAGTCCCTTCCTTTGCCACTATGTATTGTAGAAAAGGTTCTAAACTATTACATCAGAACTACAAACGTCAAGGCTCAACAACGGTTTCTACTCCTATCTACAACTGTTCATATGCTACCACATTACAATTACTTTACTATCTCTGCTGATCATCATCCTATAAACAAAGTTATTTGGTGCCATCTGCTTCCTCCATGGATAATCATGCAGACATTAATATCTACACAGATGGGTCCATAAGCTCCCTTCTGTATCTTCCTCCAAACTGACATATTTTGCCAAAAATATGTTAGAAGGTACAGATACCTCCCACATACCTCCATCTATCAAGCTGAAGAAGATGCTGACTACCAAGCTGTTCAGTGGGCCACTACACTACCAAACAAAACTCTATCAACAATTAATGATTCTCAGTCTGTCCTAAAAGCTGTATTAAATCCCAATTTCAATAGCAATAAAATCACATATATCCAGCACCATATTAAAAATCTTGTAAATAAGATAACTTTTATATTTTTCCTGGCCATACTGGCATACTAGGAAATGAAAAAGCCGACTTTGAGGCTAAGTCAGCTGCAAAGGACACTGATTTGGACTACACTCGCATCCCTCTCTCACACAGCAGCCTTAAAAATTATCATGAAAACACTATGCAAAAGTTGAATCAGTAAAAGTAGTTGAGCATTAAAACTGGTAGAATAACAAGACTTTATTCTCTTAGTGTCGAATGCGGGTTCTCATCACTACTTAGAGATTTAACATTTGCTACTGCTCAACTACTTACTGAGCATGGAATTTTAGAAGCTACCTGGCGATGTATAACTGGGCAGAAGCTGCTTGTTTCTTTTGCTCTACAGAAAACCTAGACACCATCGACCATAAGATCTATCATTGTCCAATTTAAGATCAAGATAGACTTATTCTGAAATTAGAAATTTTTATGCTCGGTTTTGGGTAGCCGTGTCCACTCGATAAGCTTGTTCAGAAACCACTGTTTGATGCTTTTTACAATTATGTTCAAAAAAATATGGAAGAAAAGACTATTTATAATTTCTAGTTTTACATTTTAGTTTTCACTAAAAGCCTAATACTAATTTTATGTTTACTTTGCATTGTGTAATTTGGTTTATGTATTCTTACTGTTATACACCCATAAGAGTGGTGCACTTATTTTAATGAAATGGATGAGAAAATCAAATAAAGAAGGTGAAATTGCTAGGAAGATTTTTGTTCAAAAGTGGAGGAAAAATCTCAATATGTAATTGGTTCCTTCATACAAGCTAAAGAAAACCCACTGAGGAGGGAAATATTATAATTTCCAAAATGCATCTGGGTGAAATAAAGTTGTTGATTGGCTAGTATTTTTGGAGTTTGTGGATGTGATAATTCCTAGAAAATAACAGTGTTTGAACTGATTACATATTGAGATTTAAAAAAATAAATAGAAGCAAAAAGGATAAATTATGGAGGAGAAATGGTTGAAGAAGAAGAATGAAAGTGACATATAATACAATAATTTAATTATGAGAATTTATATGATTTTTGAGAGATGTTACCATCTGTTCCATTTGTGTTTAAATAACTTCGTAAAATAATAAACTGAATTTGAATTATTCACAATACTACTGTTATTATAACTAATCATTGTATAATATCAACATATATCACATTTTCATAATAAGATTATTGTGTATATATATATATATTTTTGTAAATGAGAAAAAATTGAATCAAATCATTAAATTTTAAATTTACATATTATCTATTTTCAAAGCATATTTAATTAACTTTCTTAAATGTGCAAAATCTTTAATATTTCATATATCAATATTTTGAAAAATGATTACAAAATTTAAATTAAGAATATGAATTTCAGTATAATTTCTATTTACAAATTTTCTCATTCCAGTGACTAATACTCAGCCACAGAACAATACAATGCAAGAACTTTTTAATAAGGTAAAAATTGCATTGATTGATTTTTACAAAGATTTTTATAATTTACTTCTTATTTTTTATGGAAAAATGTATAATTCAGTCCTCAGCATTAAAATTTAAATTATCAAGTTATATAGATTGATCCACTACTCAAAAACCTTATACACTGCAGCCATATTTATTAGTAAATTCAGAATTTGCTGATAAATATGGCTGCAGTGTATAAGTTTTTGAGTAGTGGATCTTTGGTATGAAATGCAGTCTATGAAGAGATTATATAGATTGATTTTAATAAATAAATATATATTTATATATATTGAATTTGATAAATAAATAATTTGTTAAACAAATATATACATATATTTATTTTTTTCATTACCAAACTCATATTTTATGCCCTTTATGTAGTATCATCATCAAATCAGTCTGATGCTTTAAGAATAAATTCCAATCAGTTTTACAGTTGGTTACCTGACCATTATTTTTTAGTGAAGTAATGTACAGTGTATATAGTAGATTGGTAATTCATATATACAATAAAACCTCTCCAAATGGGACACTTGTAGTACAAACAAAATGTGTCCCAGTTGTGAGGTGACCACACTAGTGGATTAATTCACATATTTAATTAATAAGTTCAGTTATATATTGCTGCAGGAAAAAACTATTGATTGAAATGGAGGTATTGTAACACAACAGGTTTTACATTTTTGAGTTTAATTTGAAAAATTGCAGACCTATAAATTCCCATGGTCATTTGTCCATTGTCTGTCCTTAACCTATCCCATGTTAAAATTTTTCTCCATTGCTTGTTGTGCCGTGTTGAATTTTTGTCAATGTTGCCTAACGAAAATTACACATTTTTGAAAAAATAATCGTATTATCCAAAATTATTTTTTTGTTTAGCACAAACAAAATAATATATTACTAATTGTAAAAACAAAAAAAATTATATTTCGGAAGTTAGTTTCAATATAAAAATTATAACAACTAGTTAAGCAACATCTAGTTTTAAAAACATTCCGATGCTGAAATGAGATATCTTGGGTCCACAGGTCAAGGTCATTAGGTCTCAATCCAAAATATGTCGGGAATACCAGAGAGTAGGTTAATCTCTAGAACAGAGTTAGACTGATGGAAATCTTAGGGGCAGGAGGCCCCAATTAACTATATACGAACTTGCGATACAAACTGGAAGTCATATTATTTCAATTCTAAACTTTTTCTCCTGAAAGCAGTTAATAGGTGATCAGTGCAAATATATTGCTAACAGGAAAACTATGATGTACTGAGACAAACCACTACTAATTTGACATGGAAAGCATATATTTTATATTAAATAAATTAAATATATGATTAAAAATTGCAGCTTGGCATTGTGACAATATCACAATAAATAATTGCTGGTTACATTAATTTTATTACACATCAAGTTGGTGACTAGGGATTGCTTTAGACTGGGGGTGTCCAACCCTGCAACCTGCGGGCCGCATGTGGCCCAATAAACGCGTAAACAAAACTGACAAATTTTTTATTTATCTATTTATTTCAACAGCATAAACCTCAAAAAAAGTTTCACAAAGCCATAAAACTTTATACATATACTGTTAGGATGGCTAGTTTTTTAGAAAATTTTTGGCTACAAACATTAAAAACATCTGGCAACACTGATCCTTTTTTTTCCTTTCCACTCAAACTCGACTTATATCTCTTGTTTTTCTTTGTGAAACAAATTATATTATTTTCAAAATTTATTTAATAGCTGTTTCTTTTTAAGACAAGTAAGTAAATATATATTATTTTTATTAGTTTTAAATAACTAATTACGGTATTTTCAATTTACCCTTTAGCATGGGGGTAAATTGAACAACTCAACAAAAAACAGTTTCTAAGAAAAGGAAATATATCGATGAGAAAAGGTTATTTAATGAGAATATTTTTTTCTTGAGATGAAAAGTGAGGCACACTGCCTAATTTGTTGTGTTTCAATACCTGTCTTCAAAGAGTATAATTTGAGTAGGCATTATGCACAAAAACATGCTTCCAAATTCAATGCATATCAAGGAATGTGTCACAAAGACCAAGTAATGGTACTGAAAAAAGGTCTTATATCTCAATGAAAGGTTTTTAGCAACATTACAACTTGGACAGAATCCATTCAGGTTAGTTTTGTAGTTGCAAATTTAATTGCCAAAAACTCAAAACCATTTTCGAATGGCAAGTTTATTAAGGAATGCATAGAAAGTGTTGCAGATATAATTTGTCCAGACAAGAAAAGTGATATTTCTAAAATCAGTTTGACTCATCAAACTACTGTCAGGAGAATTGACGATCTCAGGAAATATATTGAAAGTGATTTGGAAAGTAAAGCCCGTGGGTTTACATTTTATTCTTTGGCCATGGATGAAAGTACTGATGCTACTGATACTGTTCAATTTGCCATTTTTATTAGAGGTATTAATGACAAATATAGTGTAACTGAAGAAATGCTCTCATTAGTGCCATTAATTAAAAGACATGACAAAATCAAGAGATTTATATGAAGCAGTGAAAAACATTAATGCGATTTTCTTTATCCCTTTCCAATATATCTGGTATAATTATGGATGGGGCCCCAGCTATGATAGGTAAAAAAGAAGGGCTTGTAAAATTAATAGAAAAACGATGTCATTGCTGTTAAAAATTCTTGTTTGATTAAGTACCATTGCATACTACACCAAGAAATTTATGCGGAAAAGCTTTGAAAATGGATTGAGTTATGCAAATAATTGTAAAATCTGTGCCAGAACTTGACAATGCCAACTGGCTTGCACATTTAGCATTTTTGGTAGATTTGACTGATCATTTAAATTACTTAAACATGTATCTTCAGGGGAAAAACCAATTTATCAGTGCAATGTTTCAAATCATAAACACATTCCAGGTAAAACTGAAATTATGGCAGGCCCAATTAAATGCAAATAACTTTTAGCATTTTAACATGTTGTTCAAACATATTCCTAAAAAAGGGAAAAAATATGCGGCCTTACTTTTCGATTTGATACAAGAATTTGAAAATGTATTTTTGGAAAAATAATCTCAATTTTTGTATTTTTGCGACTCCATTGACAGTCAATATAGTAATGCTGCCAGTAACTTTTCAAATGGAATGCATAGAGTTGCAATCTGACATCCAACTTAAAGAGAAATTTGATCACATCTTTTTGTTTGACTTTTATAAATCATACCTACCCAGAGACATATATCCCGCACTGCACAGTCATGCATTATTCATGTCATTGTTTGGAAGCACCTACATATGTGAACAACTATTTTCAAGAATGAAGCATACTTAGTGTAAAATTAGAACCAAAGTATCGAATGAACACCTTGAGGGCTGCCTGAGAATTGCAACCACTTCAATCGAACCAGATATTGACGCATTAGTTTCTCAATAACAATGCCAAATGCCACATTAGTTTTATGATTTGGACTTATACATAAAATGTATAAAATGATGCCAAACAAATTCCATGTTCTGTATTTATAATGAAAAAAGTTCTAATACATTTTAAATACTTAAATATGAAAACTATATATTTTACGTTTTTTTTTCTCTTAAGCTAGTTGTGGCCCAAAACTTCATAATTTCTTCCAATGTAGACCAGAGAAACTGAAAGGTTGGACACCCCTGCTTTAGACCTTTTACTGTACATTCAGCTATATTTTTTTCAACACATGGTTTCATATAGAACACCACCACCATTTGAGCATCTGTGTGTGCAAATGCATACCTTTTTAAATGGATGATGTACTGCAGTGCATCTTGGTGGTTTGGTGGTGCTGATTAAATTTCTTCTCTCATTTCATCTTCATCATCCTCTGATGAATCTTCAATATTCATGTTGATGTTCAGAATGTTGCTTAAGATGATTTCAAGATCTTCACCGCTATCATCATGAACTTCTAGTATATCATCAAATAATGATAGTGTTGTAGGATCTGTAACTACTGTTGATGCCAAAACATCTGGCAGAGCTTTCACCTCCTCAATTTCTTGTTCCAGTGAATTTGTTTATTTCTTGGTCAAGTGTGGGTCTGAATCCTACATGCACAAAACATTTTCGAATTGAATTAAAAAATTCAATTATAAAACATAAGACTATGAAATCTCATATCTTTTTCTTCATAGAAAAACAAGTTAAATGATTATTATGTCAGAAACCTAAGGAGGGATTAAGTAAAATTTAATGCAAAATGCATTTCTGTTTATAAAGGAAAAGAATAAAACAGGGATGCACAACCTTTTCTGAAGAAGGGCCAAATTAGGATTAAGTTTACTGACTGGGGACCGGACCTCCAAGTGATGGACCTCCAAGATTAATGCGATGTCTGATGCAATTTGCGAGATTCTTTGTTGTATCGTCATGTGGTTAAGACTGATTGTTTGAAAACACTGTCTTCTCAGGACACATCTCACTTGCGATGATAAGACACTTTTTTATCATATCGCCATCTGTGAAAGGTTTCCCATTCTTGGCTATTAAAGCAGATATTTCTAGGCTGGCTTCAACAGCCGCATCCAATTCTCCAGATTGTTTCTTGAACACATTTTGTTGGCTGATTAGTGATCGTCGTAACGATTCGATTTTCCGTTTGCGTTCCGTACCTTGCAGAAGGAAATCCTTGTGTTGGCTTTCATGATGTCGCTTCAGGTTGAATTCTTTTGGCACTGCTATTGTTCCATTGCACAAAAGGCAAATAATGCTGTTGTTCTGTTGCACAAAACAGTACTTGTTAGTCCACACTTCCACTTCTTGAAACTGATGATTCTCGCGATTGACCTTGCGTTTAATGCCCGGCGCCATACTGTTCACTCTGCAAAACAATGTCTCATTGTGCCGAAAATTCTGAGGCCCGCAACAAATCATGTTTGAGATAAGGCAAGCTAGACTACCACGTGCTTTGTTCTGTATCCACTCTGACCAAAGACTAAAGAGGCGGGGACAGAAGACTATTACGCACACGTGGCCAGGCAGGTC